TGTGAAATGTTCAGCACAGTGAGCAAAACCAACCCAATACCCTGGGGCAGAAGGAAAGTGGTGGTTGCTTGGAGGGGTTGTGTCCCACTGCTGCCAAGGGATACCTCAAAGGACTTAACTAAAATTCCCCTCCTTCCCTCCCTTTCCTTTTTACCACAGCAAACAAAGAGTGCTCTGATAGAAAGCTGCACAACCTTCTGCTTTCGCATCCCTAAATCCACAGAAAAATGTCCCAGATTCCAGGAAAACCCGTGGCAGAAGTGGGGCTGCCTCTTGGAAGTCAAACACAAACTGGGAAAGTGCCGTAGTCTGAGCCCAGCCACCAGCACAGGGGTGCAGAAGGAGGAGCAAGGATGGCACTGCCGTCTCCCAGACCTGGGAAGCCAAAACCTCCTGGGAGGAACTCGGTAGACCAAGTTTCTGGCCAAGGGCAGAGTGCACATCAGGTGCTTGTCATGAGTGGCCTGGGAGAGAGCAAGCTCCCGAAAAATGAGCACTCACTTTACTCAAAGGGTATGGAAGTATGGAAGTAGAGGTGGCTTTTCTTTGGGATGTGAATGTACATGACTATGCACTTCCAACTTTTCCTCTCTCTGCAGGTGCAGACCCTTGTGCACCCTTGTGGACGGTTCTCAGTGGGAAAAGCTGCAGCGTGGTGGTGAGCCCAACTCTCTGTCCTGAGCTGTGGCAACAACGCACATTGCTCAAGGATGACTCCTCCCTCTTAGCTTCTTAGTCGTTTCATCACCCTTGTTCACCCTTCACTTCCTTCTTTGTTTTCTGTTTGCAGCAGTTCACAAGCAAACCTCAGCTTCCCTAGGGGACTTCTCTACTCTCCCAAACTTGTCTGGGACATTGCAGTACAAAGGTGCTCATTGACTCCATATAGCATCAGACATCCTGTCGTGGGTCCAAAAATACCCAGTTTGAGTTGGCAAATTTCACGCAAAGTAAATTATTAACAAATAAGAAACCAACCCACACTTAGACACTCTCTTCACCCTGTCCTAGTCCCTGTGGCACAGGTTACACCCAGGCCCTTTGGCAAGACCATGGGCAGTGCAGGAACTGGGTGTTGGTGCACCGGGGTCCTTGTGCTCTCGCTGCTCCAGCACAGGCTCTTCTACCAGTCACTGTCCCTTTGGGTGCTGTATCTGCCCTGGCCTTGTCTCTTCCAGAATTCACTGCTCTTTCTTAAACATGTTTCCACAGAGGTCCCATAGACTCATCATTGTTGGTCCAGTTTTGGGGTGCAATGGGTTAATTTTGACGGGTGCCAAGCCAGCTGTGAGCAGCACAGAGCAGTCCCTGACCTCCTCTTGCACAAACAAACCCAACAATGATGTCCTCAAGCATGTCACCCTGCTCTCTGCAACACGCTTTTCTTTCACTTGCTGGTGTTACTTTCACTGCTTTGGAAAATTATCTTCTGTTTTCCTGCTGCGTGATCTGCTGAGATGAACACAGTGATACCTCATAAAGTTTTGATATCAATACCAGGGTTATACACATCTACACTACACCTCCGGGGGCTCTAGAAATTGAAACGAGAAAGCTCCAGAAGCCTTTTTTTTTAGCCTTGGCATGGAATAGCTGTGAAAAATATGCTGTTTAATCATAAAGTCATCACGTTGTTGCCGTTACCACTGCACCCCAGGGGAAGAGGGCGTCTGCTTGGTTTATTTCTTTTTCTTCTCCTGTGGTTTGTTTTGTTCAATATCCCGAAGGAAGTGAATGCTCTTAAGTATGATTTCTGCTGAACAGGGAGATGTATTCCCTAAGGGAGTGCTGGGCAGCGCTGCGAGCACAGCCTCGGCTGTGGATGGACGGAACGCCCCTCAGCAGGCAGGGTGAGGCTGGGCTGCGGAGGGGTGATGCAGAGCGTGCTGCAAATCCCCCAGCAGCGAGCGCAGGCAGTGGTTTGGGCCGGGTGTGGCAGCCAAGCTTTTCCTGGCCCTGCGCCCAGCCACGGACGCAGCGGATGTGCCTCCCGCAGCAGTGCAGGGAACCGGTGGTGGTTCTGCGAAGCGGCGTGTGTTCAGCTTGGTTTCTGAGAAACCACGTGCTTTAGGGTCCAGGGACAGAAACAGGGGATGGCACCTTCTACCCATCCAGCCGTTCGGGATGCGGCAGCGCTGACCACCTGCAGAGCTTGTTGGTGCCCCGGTCACAGGCACTGCGAAGCTGCCCATGATTTCTTCTCCTTGAAATTTCATTAAGTTTAATGTTTAATATAAATAAACCTGTTGTTTATTTATTTCACAACAGGGCTTAATCCTCAGCTCAGCAGACATGCCCGTTGTAGAGGGTGGCTGGAAGGGGGTTGGCAGCTATAATTCTTATTTCCTCAGCGCCCCTTGTACCGTCAGGCAGAGGTTAGAGTCCCCCAGAGCAGGTATTGCCAGGTTTCTCGGTCGCTTAGCTTGAGATGCTGACACTTAGTGCTGCTTTTTCAGGGATGACGAACACCAGCTCCATGCTCACTATCTGAGGTTACCCACATTACAAGCTCATCAAAACAAGTAAAATTAGGAGCTGTAATCACAGCTGGTGGTGTTAATGTCTGAATGCCAAAGCCCACGTAGCACAAGGGTGGGAAAGACCTGGGGCTGACCCAAGCAGTTCTCCCAGCTGCCACCAGACCGTATTCCCCCTCCTGTTGAGAAAGCAGTGGCAGGCTCTGGTGAAGCTGTGTTGCAATCTGCACTGGTGAAACTACCAGGTCCAAAGAGTAAGAAAGAAGCAGGTGTATTCCGCTTCTTGGGACCTAGTCACCCAGAATGGCCTCACACAGTTTAAGAGCAGTACGATCTGACATGATCGAAACTTACACAGGTTTCTGTTGAGAATACTTTTATTTTGCACGTAGGATTTTAAATGTGAAAACAAAGGTGATGTATTCAAAATAGCCCAGCTTTTGTACATCATGGGGCATAGTATATATATACGGATTAATCCTCTGAATGCTGCTTTAATGATTGACAGCATTAAATAACATGGCTAGCAGTGATTCTAACACAGTCATTACAACTAATAAAGGTGACAGCACTGAGTTTTCATGCAGTGTACCCAGCTAACCAAGTATTTGCAGTGGGACAGGCTGGTGCTGAGCTACACCCTTAGCGAGGGGGGAAAAAACCAACAAAAGCCCAAGCGGGGCAACAGCAGCCACCACATCCCACCACCAGACCGATGCCCAGCCGGTCTCCACACAATAGCTACTTTGGAGAAACTCCCCCCGGTTTTATTGCTGAGCACGGAGTTACAGGGCACGGAACATGGCCTGGGTCAGCTGGGGTTAGCTGTGCTGGCTGTGTTCCTCTCCCAGCCCCTTGCTCCCACCCTGCCAGCCTCCTTGCTGCAGGAGTAGAGCAAGAAACAGAGATGGCCTTGCCACTGTGCAAGCACTGTCCAGCTATTGCTAAAACACTGGTGTGCCATCAACACCGTTTTTGTCACAGATCACACAGCAACATAAGGGTGGCTGTGATGAAAGCTAACTCCACCCCAGCCAGAGCCAGTACAATGCATGATCACATTGTTTTCTTGGATAAATTTGGGCTCACTCAGTTCACACTGTGCTGAACTTGTGCACAGGTGCTGTAGGCAGGAGGCAAAGAAATGAGCTTTTAACGAACATGGAAATTACCAAGCCCAAGTCAGAGATGTAGAGGGTACCCAGAGCCTGACAGAGGAGCTCAGGCAGCAGCATAAACGCTGTTGGTAACTGTAATGTTACAATCTGTCATTTATATCTACTCAGTTAAGAAGATCAAACCACCCAATGGTTTAATGGAAACAACACTCCCACAGGCTTTGGATACAAGCTCTCAGGCTACATTGAGTTACTGCACCACATAGCACCCTTGACTGAGATATGAGCATGTAAATTACACGCAGTCTATGTAAGAAATGTCCTGAAGAGAACTGAAATCCATTCAGTGTCACCCTTGGCAGAGTCAAACCTGGACTCCAGATTAAAGAGACCTGATATCAAAGGAAGAAAGGATGTAGAAGACATCAGGCTAAAAGAAACAGTTATAGTCTGGTATATATGGAAGTTAAGACACCTGTCCAGAAGCTCTGTATCAAACACAGGTAGAGTACAAATGATTATATTGGTGGTATGGACTATTCAGCAATGCATTAGGGCTAAGCTAGAAAGGCAAGAGATAAAGCAGCAGATAATCCTGCTGTCAGATACAACAGAAGGAGAGGTGTTAGACACAAAGGGTGGCTGGTGAATAATGGAAGGAACCATAGAATCATAGAGAATCAGAGTAGCAAATTGTTTATCTGTGCAAGCAGAAGGCTGGATGATGAACTTCATGGTCCATTTGCCTTGTCTACTGTAAGGTTATTGTCTCTCACTGAAGCCTTGTTCTCCCTTGAGTTATTGTCCTTTCTGCTCGATGTACTGAGAATTTACACAGATAAAAAATCTATTGCAATTGTCCGTTTTTGTTTGGAAGTAATGTCAGTACATGTGGCTTTAATTTCAGTGAGCCCAAATTTAATATCCAGCTTCAGTTGGCGCTTCCTCCCAAGCTTTGTGTCTGGCATTGGCACTATACAGGAGCCAACGCATTCCATCCCTTCCTCATCTACATACTGAGCATCCTGCTTTTCTGTACAATAGAAAGAAAACTTTGCTTGTGTTTGATCTGCTTCTGTTGGATGGAAATAATAATGGGCATCTTCATTTATATTCACTGACTCATCAATTCCAACCAATTTCTTGAAGAGATCTGTACAGTAAATATAGCCATCCTTTTTTGAGATCTTTTTTTTACGGCAGTCATGGATTGCAGCATCAAAGTCCTGATTTACTGCTATGCCATATGTCCGAGCACTGACTCTTGAGGCAACTATGCATGGATTGACCCCAAATAAAACAGCCCCTTTTACAATGGCTGCTTGGGCATCCAATGGACATAGGATATGATACTCCTCACTAAAGGCCTGATTGATCTCATCTCTCAAGATGATGCTAGATGCAAAGCCTCCTACAAGCAAAATGTACTGGACCTTGGCCATCTCAGGCTTGTCAAGAATTACCCTCAAAGTAAAAATGATATTTCTGATACTGTAATCAAAAAAGGTCTTCATTTTCTCATATGTAACCATGAACACCCCATCGCACCACACAACTCCATTTACTTTTTTGAAGAAGTGGGAGATGTCCTTCTTGCGCTCTGCCAGTTTGGTCAAGTTGTAGTAGCAACGTATGTAGACTGCCTCTCTGCTAGCAGAGCATTTCTGTAGACCAAAGTTGTACATCATATGTTGTAATTCAGTAGGGTGTTCCTTTTCATATTCACCCCATACACCATCATTGAATATTTCCCTAAGGAAATCCATGAAGTTTTCATCCACTTTGTTGCCTCCCCATCCACCTCCAGATGCCTTGTGTAGTTCCTTCAGGCAATGGTTTTCTTGGATCTCATGTACTGTGATGTCTACTGTGCCACCTACACACACACAAACACAAATTTACTTAGCTGTTTTCTTTGAAGTACGTGAGGTCCTCACTTTCCACTGAATACAACCCTACCTCGGAACTCCTGGTTCACAAGTGTGCTCTTTTTTCTTTTTTCCTTTTCTCATCCTCACTCCTCCACTATTGCTTGCACCCCTCTGGATTCCCTAAATTTAGGCACCTCTGTTTACAAGCCTGCTCTCCCAAGCTTCCTGCAGTAATTGCCGATGAGTTGCTCCCCGCACAAATGGATCTCCTTTCTGATCACAAAAGGAGACTGGCCTCCTCACACCGAGAGTTGACTCCTGCTTTTTGATATAAAAGTGCTAAACTAAGATGAGCAGCAGTGGTGAGTGTCTCAGAAACTTGTGGGCCCCTGGAAGACTTTTCAGTGTTTGTCCACAATCACCAGACCGATCTCGGCAGGAAATTCCTGTTACAGCGAAAAAATACAGAAATTACGCAGAGGTGCTTCCTCAAATATTCTTAATGATTTATTCCACAGGGCCTGACAACTATCTCTTTGCTCAGTTCACTGGGCACTGCACATGCTCCTACAGAGGAAGCTGTGAGTTCAGGCAATAAAAAAGAGTATGTGGGTATGTGTTGGTGCCTGACACTGGGACATGGTGCAGACTCATCTGGCTCTTGCCCTGACTGTCTGGTCTGAAGTGCATGATGGCATGAGACACTCAGTGGCTTCCATTTCCATGGGTCACACCTTTAGCAGTCCTTCTCTTTTCTCCCATTTTTCTGCCTGGCTGTAGGACATCATTAAGTGAGAAGTAGAAATAAAAACCCCATGACAAGCACAGCAGTGGAGTCCAAGCTCTGGGACTGCACTGTAGACTGCTGGGGACACTGCAAAAGAGCCATGCTCCATGCCCAGCGTGGATGGCACCTATTAAACAGGGAAAATTTTACCTCCACAGTCAACAACAATATACTGGATCCCAGGGGAGTCTTCCAACTTCTTCTTGTCATTGCTGGCTGTCATAAACCCTTCCTGTGGAAGCTGTTTGCACCACAGTGATGCAGCCTCTGACTCTAAGGCAATGATCAGCTTCTCAGAGGTCATATCAGAGATAAGTCCTGCCTAAAACCACAAGAGAGAGGTGTCAGTTCAAGGAAAGGTGGTGAAATCACCACTGCACAAGTGCCACCTGCTAGGGAGGCTGTTCTCACCCCAGGAGCCCACGCTGGGGTGGTAGGTCTTGCACTGCTGACATCTGTGAGGCTCATTTCTACACGGCATTGGGGGGAAAGGGCAGAGTGGTTGTTACTGCCACTTTGGGACATCCTCTCCCACACCACTCCCAACACGGGAGATTTCTCTCCCTCATAAACTGAAGTTTCATATACAGGTTGTTTAAATACTGAGGAGTTCCTCTGCCCCAATGGGCAGAGAAATCCCCAAAGGTAATTCAGGAAGGTAGGATAACCCCTGATTTTACCTCTTTTGCTGCCAGCCGCATGAACTGCCTGGCAGCAGCGCTCCATATGGCTGGGACAGTAATGACCCAGGTGATCTCCTCCTCGCTGTAGACGGTTTGGAAAGAAGCCTCTTGGATGGTGTTCAGGGCATGTTCCTTCAGGTAGCGCAGGCTTTCGGAAAAGACCATCAGGGCAGGAAGCACCTTTCCATTGCTGGCTTTCAGCCCCATGTCAGATGTGACTTTCTACAAAAGAAGTCTCAGGGTCACCCATTGCAGTCTCAGTACGGACCTGTCCCCGTCACGCTGAGCACTGAACAACACAGGGCACAGAAAGAGGGCCTGTCGCCAAATCTGAGTAAACTCCCAGCAATAGCTTTAGTATTGTGGCTAACTGCAGTCTAATTGACACAGGTCAGCTACCAACCTGCTTATCCATGACATCTGCAATTCAGTAGGCAAAATACCAACGTGGCTGATAAGTCGGCTGTTTTTCATAGGGCAAATTTTGTACGAACCCTGTAGATTCTCCTGAAGAGCCAGTGCGGGAAGTTGTATTTTCTATGTGACACTACCGTACATTTCCCGTATGTTAGTATAGAGACTTCAGAGCTCTCTGGTTGTACCTTTACTTCTGTGTAAGGTGTTAACGAAACATACGCTGGACAAACATGTAGAAAAATAATCCTCTGGTCTGAGACAGTTTCTCTCTATTGTGTCCTCTTGGCTTATATGACCCCCTAGGTGTATCTGAAGCTTGAGGCAGGTGGCTACTCTGACACTTTCAGTCTCTCTCATGAGACCAAAACTCCCTCCATCAGCCCCTGGTTGCTTGCTCTGTTTAGAAAGAGTGGGAATTATTGCCTGTTTCCAAAGCAGTTTCAGGAGCCAGCCTTCACTGCATTGCCCTTACTGCACTTGCATTTCTTTGTTTTGCTTCAGCAGCCAGAAAAGGTGGCCCTAAATCACAAGCTTTATCAACTAGATAATCAGCTCCAGTAACCTGGGATCCTTTACAGCCAGCAGAGAAAAATGGGCAGGTCCATGTGCTGCCCATCTCAAGTGAGACACAGCCAGGAAAGGTGGGGTGAATCCTCTTCTGTAAGTGCTGCCACTGTAGAGAAAAGGAATCTGTATCCATCTTTACTTACGACTTAATTTCCTGTCATTGTTCCTGGCTCAGTCGGAAGCGGGTGCTATAAGGAAGCTGTCCCCAGACACTTTCTATGGAGATTCAGAAATAAATAGTTATGCATCTGGGAATAGGTGCTCCCCTTTCTTGTTGCTGAGCCCTTCTAGTGGTTTCCCAGAGAGGCTGTAGAATCTTCCTCCTTGGAGATATTCAAAAGCTGGCCAGACAATAGTTCTGAGCAACCAGCTCTAGGTGGCCCTGCTTGAGCAGGGGGATTGGAGAAGGTGACCTCCAAAGGTCCTTTCCAACCTCAACCATTCTCTGATTCTGTAATGAAATTTCCCTTAACCATTTGCTTCTTGGGTGCGGAGAGACGGGGTTGAGGTAAAATGTCTCTCCAGCCCCCTCTGAAAGTGAATGAGAACCCACCACTCCACAGGTGACACTGTGGCAGACCACATCATTCCCAGTTTTCCTGGGGAGGAAAGTCTCCGCAGAGGCCTCCCACCCACTATGGCATCCAGTTCAACACTCATTGCTTAGCACTGGGGGATACTAAAGAGCAAACACAAGACTTTACCTGGGGCTGTCCCAGGGGCTGTCCCTGTGCTGTGGGTTACTTTGAGCTTTGGGAGGCCCTGTGGCACCCTGCTACACAGACAAGGAGGCCCTAAGGTAGCCTAATCTCTGGCTGAATGAGCAAACCCAGAAGAAGCTGTGATCAGTTTTGAACTACCACAGAGCCTTCAGAGAGCAATGACAGCCACTACTTGAAGTGGCTGCCCCACATGCTTGAAGGACAGCTCGCCATCCTGACATCAGCTTAATCATACCATTTCAGGGGAAGGAGAGATAAGGGAGGAGGAGGTAGCTCCAAGCCTCAGTCCTTGACATGGCACAAGTGAAGTTTCCTGTGATTCAAGTGAGGTTGGCAATTTCAGGATCACCATGGGAGGAACCCTTATGGTGATCCTGAAATTACCCACCTCACTTGAATTACAGGGAATTTCACTTGTTCTCTGTCAAGGACTGAGGCAGGGAGCCCCAGAAGGTGGCTAGTTTCTCTGCTAAGCTCTGGAGCAGGGCAGCTTTTTGACAGGAACAAATATTCAGCTTCACTGGTGTGCAGTTAGGTTTTATTATCTTTAGACAAAGAACAGCGTCATAAAGGAAGGGCCCATGAAGCTTTTGTCTAATTAAGAAAAGAAATAATTTCTTCAGTTCCTCAGAATACTCTTTGATTTCTGTTCATTCATCCTCATCATCCAGATTTACTCAGCCTTTTTTCACCAATTTCTTTAACCCCCCTCCTCAATAAATTAATAGCTCTGACTCCCATTAGCAGCAACTGTTCTACCTACCATGTTGTACAGCTTCATCTTGAAGTTCTGGAAGAAGTACCAGTTGTCAGCTTCGCTGGAGGGCAGGCTCTTGTACTTCATTATAGCATCATAGCCAAACTTCCTGAACTCCTGCTTCTGGTTGAACAAGATGCATGTGGGTGTCTTTGGGGTCTTGAACCCATACTCTGTCCCCCAGTACACCTGCCGGATTTGGTCTGCTCCTGAAGCAAGGGAAAAGCAGTACCCACTGAAGGACGTGCCAAAATCTATAGCAATGATGAAGACTGACTTGCAAGTCATGACTGATGGCAGTGCAGATGTGCACAGCTCAGGGAGCTGCAGAGGAATGAACTGATAGGACTGGAGTGAAACTGAAACTGCCCTGGCTAACTGCAGAGGGTGAAGCCTTCCTCCCCTGACTTTATTGGCTGGTGGGAGACATAATGCTAGAATCAATGCAAATAAACAGTGCTTTTTCCTGTAAAGAAGGAGGGGCTTGTTCCTGTTATTCAGAACGGAAAAGTCCCATTGTGAAAGCAAACAACTGCCTGCCACTTGCAGTATCTTGCTGCTCTGCTGGCAGCCAGTCCCCTGTGCTGCCACTTGTTTCAGCAGACATTTTTTGCTGCCGTAAAGTTATGGACACCTCCAATTCTTACTGCAGCAGAATGGAGGTATCTAAAGGACTGCATAAGGACGCTGATCCTGGAGAGGTGACTGCAGAAGGCAGCAGGTATGTTGCACAGGGCGGTTTCTCTCTCTGGCTGAACTTACCAAGTTTTACTGTAGCAGGTCTGACTGTTTCTACAAAGTCCCTTGGGGGGTTGCAATGAAGGACTACAAATATTTTCTGACTGTAAAATATTTCAGTAAAAACTGTTTTCTATTTCCTATCCATCACAGGGATGGTTGATTTCCTCAAATTCAGTTGAAGTTCAGCTTCAAAGGGTGAGGCAGATTTTAAATGGGTGTAAGAGCAGGAGAAATTGGAAAGAACAGTATAAATGGTGTAACAGATCCTGGGCTTCAGGGACTCAGTTTCTGAGCTCATCAGTTTTGCAGGGAAACACGAACATAAATGCAAATCTTTCTTATACTGGATTGTTGAGCTTAAAGAAAGAAAGAAAAAAAAGAGTCCTCAGTGGAAGACTGGAAATTAAATGATTTAACTGGAAAGGAATCAATCCCAGTAAACAAAACCAAAAGAGAGGGGAGATGCTAAAAGAGAAAGGCAGGACAGTCCCTTGCAGCAGCTGTACAGACTTGGATCAGCATAAACTGATGATGAAGCCCCATTCTTAGGCTTTCTCTGACGTTGCAGGAAAGAGCTTGGTGTCTATACTCGGCCTGTGTCTGAGCTGCAGGAGCATCTCAACCTGGGATTGTTTCTGCAACAATAGTTGATATTTGGTATCCTCCTTAGGGAACAGGACACAAAGCAGCTGTAGAAATAAAAAAATACCTTGAGAACACAGAGCTTTGTTCTTCTCTATTGAAAAGACCCCACACCCATACATTGCAGAGTTGGTTTTAACAGAACAGCCACCTGCGTTTGCTGTTCCCCACATTCTACAGGTCTGGGTTGAGTTTGTTTTCAGGACTTATTCCTGTATACTGCCCACTCCCTCCAGCCCTAATGATTGCCCAAACCCTCCACCTATTTTTGGCAAACCCTGGCCTGTGCAGGCCTCTGAACTGCCTCATCTGGGGGAGTGCTAGCTCATTTGTGCCAAGACTGCATCCAGGTGTGTGCTGGGCCATCCTGTGTCCTGAAGCCTCTATCCTGGCTCTGGTCTATTTGCTAGCATGGATGTAGCCATGAAGCCTCTGCTCATGGGGCTGTCATTTAAAATGTACCTGTTCAAAGTATGTGATCATTTTTCCCTTCATTTGAAGAACTCCCTTTTCTTTTTTCATCAGAAAAACATATGACATCTCATCGCAGCTATCAGCCTGTGGAAACAGGATTTCAGCACTGGAGAACTTACACTATGAACTGCAAGAAAAGGTGACGTGGATAGAAGAAGAGTGTGAGTCCAATGACCAGACATTACAATGCTTAGCATGGCCCCTAATGATCAGCTTAGCTGGTGTATGCCAGGACAGGTTGGGCAGAAGATTACAAGTAAGCCAGACACAAGGAGGGCTCTGAGTTAGCAACAAATTTTTCAGGGCTATATGGGGGACCCAGGGACAATTTACAGAAGACATTTGATCTGCACCATGTAACATGCAGATTTTACACTTTCAAAGTATTTTATTTGCACTATTGATACTGAATCACAAACCACCCACCTGGCAAAGGACAGCCTTAAGAAGTTTTGGTCTCTAGACTTTTTTCTTTATGGGTTGATCAGGAGTTGGAGGGAGAAATGCTTCTGCATTTCTCAGGACTGTAATGGATAATCGCCTACTGACTGGATGTGATTTATTATTTCTTTCTTCCCCTGATGGATGGACAGACAGGAAGAAAATGTTTTGGTGCAACTCTGTTGAAACTCGAGTGAAGTCACTGGAGAACTACCATAGGTAACGTGATTCTTTATATTAAAAATATGGATAAGAGAGAAAATCATAAATGCTTCTGCAACTGTCACTGAAACATGCTCAAGCCTTGCTTATCACAGCTTTGTCCTGCAGGACAGCCAAATTTTCATTCTTCTGTTTGACTGCATTGTCGTGGCCAGGAATGAGCTGCCTCTGAAACAGGTTTGTCTCGGAGTGCAGACTGGGGTATGTGACTAGGGCACGTGACATGAAAACATATCATGTTGTTACACGAACTTTCATTTCCATGCAAATACTTCTCTGAATATGTAATGGCTGCCTTAACAACAGCAGCCAACAATATAAAGGCATCCAGACTAACACAGAAAGGAGAAATGGTAAAAGCAGCTCTGAGGACAGTGCAGAATGTGCAGAAGCCCTTTTAATGAACTAGGCAAGCACTGAGGGAAGACACAGTGGCAGAAAAACTGGCAAGAAGGATGGAAATTGTTAATCAGGAGGAAAGAAAAAGAAATAGCAGCCTAATGTAAGGCTTCTTGGGGATAAAATGCAAACACAAATCATTCTCAGTGACTAAGGCCAGGAGCGAATAAACTTGAAATAGTATAGCTGGATGTTCACACCCTTCCTGAACAGTTTTGTGGAGAAGAGGCTTTCCTGTTGGGATTTCCATGAAGACAGGCTGTGGTGTTTTAGTTTATGATCACAGCTGAAGTATGTGTGGGGTCATGAAGGGTTTGCAGGCATGCAGTCATTGGTAGCCTGATAATAAAGGAATACTCAGACTTTCTGAAAGCTTGGAGCTCTCTTCCAGAGTAGCTCAAGTTTGCAACTTGGTCTGATGTAAGGCAAAGCTTCCCAGACATCAGATCTAGACTCACATAATGACCAAGCTCAGTAACTTGTGTCCCTGAGTTTGTTTGCCTAATTACAGAAGGTTGTCAGGAAACCAGTCTAGATTCAGATTACACCTGCCAAATTCAGGTCCTCATTCTTGGTTTGGTTTCAGGTCTCGCTGCTTAACACAGATTGTTTTCTTCCATCTCCAGGCAGCGTACTGCACCTATTAATTACCACATACAGAAGATGAGCAATGATTCTCATCTTTACCAGCAGGGATACAAGAGCTATCAGGAGGGAGTACTGGGTTTTGCTGCATTTCCTCTTCTCAGTGTAGTCCTTTCAGCTACAGCCAGTCATTTTCCTCCACTATCCGTAATACGTCTACCACCTCCAAATTTAGGCAAGCTCTAAACACAGTATTTCTCTGTGCAGTAATGAAGGTAATTTCATTAACACCAGAAACTTCATTGGATAATTCACAAGATCAGAATATTAATATAAAATGGTACTGCTTACTCTGAAAGGAGGAAAAAGAAACATGGAATAAGAGGTCTCCTTTATATTAGAGCTGCAGGTACTTGCTCTGAGATCTATAATATAGAAGACACAATTTCTAAAAACCTCTGGTGAATGATAAGCAAAATATTTCTACCTGCACTCTAGCACTTTTACAGTGTCAATCTGCAATAAACTTAGAGTCATCATGTAGGGAGGATTTTTCTAAGCTCTAATAGTATCACCTAAATAGCAGACATTGGAAACGGAAATGGGAGAATTTCGCCCACTAGAGGAATAGTAACTGACGTTACCCAGACATTTGTGGAGAAAAGAATCGAGGAGAAGAGAACTGTTTGGAGGGTTTAGGATGTTTAGTGATAACATTTTGATGTTAAAGGTGGAGAAAACAACTAGAGGAAAGACGAGGATAGATTCTAACGAGTGGAGAATACTTGTGCTTTTTTCAAGCCTTCAACCTCTAGTCCTCACAACCCCATTTCCCTTTCTTGTGATGTAAATAGCTTTCCCTTGATTTGAGCATAAATCATAGGTGGGAGCTTTCAGGGTGGTTGTTAAGCTCTCCTGGAGTTTTTCCTGGGTGCTCTGTGCTTTCCCACCTCAGCTTTTTTTCTGGAATTCAGACTATTCAGTAGGAGCAAGTTCACAGTTGTCCCAGTGTCCAAGTACAGATAAAGAGATCTCACAAAAGAAATCTGTTTCAGAGCATTTTCTGGAGAGGTCACCCAAAAAGACATGGAGAAAGAGAATGAGAAGCTGAAAGAGAAGATCACAGAGCTAGAGGCAAGGTAAGGTGTTTATTCAGATTTCTGATGCAATGTGCTTTTACACTGAAGAGCCACATACTTCTTGCTTCATCCAGCCCTTGGGGAGTCTGTGTCTGACCAGATGCCCTGGACTTCCCAGATTTTCAACCTGCTGTCACCTCTTTCTAACTGGAAGATGGCTTGGGTTGTTCTGGACATGGAAGGAGACATTCCCAGGGTGAATTCTTAATAATTGATATCAGCCTACAATGACAGAGTGAAAATGCCACTTTTTGATCACATTCCACTGCGATCATGTAAAACTGAGCTAAGAAAGTACTGTTTCCCACATGAAAGCTGATTGCTAGCTATGTTGGGACCTGTGTTGTTCAACATCTTTGTCGGTGACACGGACAATGGAATTGAGTGCACCCTCAGCAAGTTTGCCGATGACACCAAGGTGTGTGGCTCGGTTGATACGCTGGAGGGAAGGGATGGGATCCAGAGGGACCTGGACACGCTTGTGAGGTGGGTCGATGCCAACCTCATGAAGTTTAACCAAGACAAGTGCAAGGTCCTACACCTGGGTCGGCACAACCCCAGGCACAGCTACAGGCTGGGCAGAGAAGAGATTCAGAGCAGCCCTGCGGAGAAGGACTTGGGGGTGTTGGTTGATGAGGAGCTTGA